AATCGTTAATCGTATCAAATCAGTTCGTTTCCCGTTGGACGTTGTCACTGATCTCCGTTTTCACGATATGTGTTCTATGTTGTGATTGAATTTTTTAGTGTAAGACATCGTGAAACATTTTACAATCTGAACTAACATAACTGTTACGTTTACAAAATATAACATCTGACGAGATTTAAGACTTCTAAAATTAAAAAAAAAGACAGCTAAGAAGAAGTGAAATTTTTTTTTTTTTTACTTACTATAGTCAAGAATCCTATGATTAATTTGCCCCCCCCCCCCTCCCCCCCATTTCACAATCACCCCTTTTTATGAATATTAAAGTTAAGTGAAAGTTGAATACATGTTGTTTTTTTCGGACAAGAACAACCATCACAACACTTAGCATATATCAAAAACGTTTGTTTGTTGTTTTGCATGAGAGCATGTTTATTGTTTATTTTGTTTAATTGTTTGCATGACACTGTTAAATTACTTACACAAACAATTGACACAGTTATGATTATAACAAAGCAATAAAAAAAAAGTTACAACAAGTTTTATTATCAATTTTTTTTAATAATATACTATGTAACTTATGAAATTTCATTCACAAAATTGAACAAATGCAAAACATTTAATAAAAGTATAAAAACAAACAAAACATTTAAACAACATTTCACATGAAACCCCTGCGTTATAGGTCATACCATGGAAGTATTATATTGACAATATAATACTTCCATGGTCATACATATTTTATAACTGATTACAAAATAATTATAAGCAATGTATTTTCAGATGATTACTCTAGCATGTCTAGAAAAAAAACAATTCAATGTTAACTTACCCAAAATTGAAGCAAATATTACAGACTTTACCCTATTTTTTTAAGCAAAAAATTAAGGCTGAAATCCCTAAAATCCATGAGCTTCAGGGGGGCTTTGCCCCCCTGGTCCCCCTACCAGGGCTAGCCCTGGACCCACTGGGGGCCTTAAGCGGCCCCCAGACCCCTTGCCCTTTAAGTTTGGTTCCCCCTATAATCTCAAAGGTACCTCCAGTCTAAAAAAATAATGAAACCCCTGGTGAATATGTGGGTCTTTTTTATTATACAATAATAACATTCGGAATTCAAATGGGGACTAACTGTGCACCACTTATTGTGGACCTGTCAGCGTTCTCTCCAGGATTTTTGGATAGCACCGGGGTAACAGGCTGTTACTGTATTGTTATGAGTTACAATTTATGACTAAAATCAGCAAAGACCCATCGAAACAACATCTGATACAAAAAATTGATAACACTTTTAGATATTTGGATGATATATTGGCTCTCAATAATGACGACTTCAGTATGTACACTAAAGAGATTTATCCTGCTGAACTGACTTTAAATAAAGGTAATAATAACACTGAACACTGCCCTTTCCTGGATCTTGATATCTATATCTTTAACGGGGAGCTAGATACCAAAATTTATGATAAAAGAGATGATTTTTCATTTCCTATTGTTACATGTAATTATCCATTTTCAGATGGAGATGTTCCCTTGTCACTATCTTATGGCGTTTATATATCTCAACTTGTTTGATTCGCTCGTGTATGTAACAACGTATTTGATTTTAATGAAAGAAATCTCTATTACTGAAAAATTATTACACCAGGGTTTTCGATTTCACAAACTTGTCAAAACATTTACTAAATTTTATCATCGGTTCAAGGACATCATTCGTAAATACAAATCAACATGCAGACATCTTAGGCCAAAAAAAAATATATGCCTGTTTACGGTTACCCGATCGACCCTACTTTGGAGCGCCGACCCTAAGTCATTTTATTTCCGTTGCTAAGTGAAAAGTAAACTGAACTCGTGTCAAAAGCTAAGTTAGTGTTGCCAATAATATAAATCAATTGCCTGATACATCCCAATATTCACAGTCGTGAATATGACAGCTGTTTTAAGGAAATTCGCGACTCGTGTGATGAAATAAACACTTTGCCGCCATTTTTTTCCAACCAATAACCAAGGGGAATAATCCAATCCAATCGGACCACGACAAGACGAAACCGCATGACTAAAAATCATGTCACAAAAAATAAAATGAAAAAATAAAATAAAATGGAAATACCGACCTACCTACCCTATTTTTTTAAAGTATGTAACCTTAAACAGACATATATTTTTTTTTGGCCTTATACATGTTATACGTTCAGGTATTTCACATCCAATCTTTTATGGTAATATTCTATACAAAGCACAAAAATGTTGGCATTTCAGGGGTTCAAGTTAGCGGTGGTCGAAACCTTCCACTGTTGCAATCGGACTTTCGTTTTGGTTACTAGCTACGCCCGACGGACCTTCGATTTTAAAGGAAATAAAAATGATCTTTGCTGACCTTTTTAACCATCTGTATCGCTATTTTTAAGCCATATTATTATTGAAATTGAGATAAAAAATGTTTCATCCCTGACCTTGCCCAGGAGTGATAAAAGTTATTTTTAACCTTTTATTTCTGGAAAAACAAGGTTATAAATAGTTGCAAGAAGTCATGTGACAAATCATTTAGACATTTTCAAACAAAATGAGTCCATTTTACTTTGGTGTCACGTCTTCCAAGAGAAAGCCTGAAGATTATGAACGGTCTTCAACCACAGGCACTTGTTTCTATCCATGGGAACGGTCGACTATCCATAAATATAGAAGGATATTCAACCTTCCCATGGATAGAAACAAGTGCCTGTGTCTTCAACGTCTTCAAAAGAAATCAAATAAAAAACTCACTAAAGACCAAAAATGCAATCGTGAAAAACGGGAACGGACATTTAAGCCCCACTGGAAAATCGATCGAACCGTTGCTATATTTTGATGAATCAACTGGTCTAATGTCATGCACATACTGCCAGAAGTTCCCCATCCATTCAGAAAAAGAAAATGCACTTGTAAGGGGAACACAAAATCTTTAAATAGACCCAATAAAAATATACGAAGTGACACCCAGCATTTATCTTGTTTAAAGTAGTGGATCCATGAAAGTGACCCAAATTTTAAGTCTAAAGATTAATTGTCAGACACTAAACTTGGACAATGTATTCTCAAGCAGCAATGTAAGCTTGATCAGTTAAATAGATATAAGGTTCTTTTCGACACTACATACAGTATTGCAAAAAAGGGAAACCTACAGTGACTATGAATTTATTCTTGAAATCCGAATGGGATTTAGGTTGTGGACCTTTCAGTATGGAGTGTCAAAGGTCCTGGACCTTCCAGTACCAAATGTTAATTTGAACCCCTGCATTCACTTCAAAAGCTAACCAAACCTTTAAACAGACTTATTCAGAAGTGATATAGTTACGATACTGTTGTCAGGTCATTAAAGATGGATTATTTTGGTATTAATATTGATTCACTCATAGGGTCTTTGCATCGGAAATAAACACATTTATTCTAAAACCAGTTGCATGAGTTGTTGGCATGATACGGGTTATGTTCTCCTCATATATTTTATGATGGTATTACACTAAACCCCTAACGGGAGGGATTGTGCTTGATTTTCATATCAGTTTAATTGAGGTCTGGAGCTGGCATGTCAGTAACTGCTAGTAGTCCTTTGTTAATTTATGTATCATTGTCATTTTGCTTAGTTTCTTTTGTTACCTATTCTGACATCGGACTCGGACTTCTTTTAAACTGAGTTTTACTGTGCGTAATGCTATTTGTTTGTTTATTCTACATTGGCTAGAGGTCTTGGGGGAGGGTTGAGATCTCACAAAACATGTTTAACCCCGCTGCATTTTTGCACCTGTCCCAAGTCAGGATATTGTCCTGAAACCAAATTTTTTGTGGTCATATAAAAATATGGAGATGTGGTATGATTGCCAATGAAACAACTACATTTGTTATCCCCTTGTTAGCTACAATATATACTTGTTTACATTTAATATTTCCATTGTGTTCAATAATGTAATCATGTAATTATCAATTTAAATACTTTGGTTTGATCATTTATTACACGTTACATGTAGCTTCCATTGACAACTTAATTGTTGTTGAACATGTTCTTAAAGGTGAACAAATTTCGATTTCCACAGGTTTTATAACATTATTGTTAACTAGTCATGTAATCAATTACATCATTTATTTTCATTCTCTTCGATTTTACCATTAATGTACCAAATGCATGAAAACAGAAGTCAATCTTTCCTAAAGTAATGACAAGAAACATGTTTTGATTTTTTTAGCAGCCAAAGGATAATGTTGAGGATGGCAGGACTGAGCTAGTGTAAGCAGGCTTGTCCCAAGGAGGCAAAGGTTCTTGATATCATGGATATGGCACATCCTGACAGAAAATGAACAATAACAAGAACCTTGACTCAACTTACAAAAAAGATGTATAAACTTCACCCATTGACCATGTTGACATAAGATTTTCACTCAAAAAAATTATTCAAATGAGTTAAATTCACTCATCAACAGCTAACAATGTATGTTTATAACAAATTAAGCTAGCCTATCCTCCATTCATGCCATTGCTATATACTAATTTTGGGAAGGTTGGTATCCTTACCTTGATGGGAGGATAGTAGTCAGTGATTAATGGAATGATATTGCCATAAGTCATCATAAATTATCAGAATTTTACCTCCACTCTAGCTAAATGCATGGAGCCAAAAACAAAAATAACAGAATTGATACCAGTGGAGTTCCCTCCCTTTGGTTTTAAAACACAAACAAAGTGCATCTTTCCTTGAAACTAAACTGAATCGAGTTTGTCTGTGCTTTCTAGGTACAACTTATAGAAATTATACTTTCATGCTCATATCTGCCAGTCTACGAGGCATGATATCGCCTTTGAGCAACATTATTTATAATCAAATCAAAACAAACAAAAAAGTGGATCTTTGCTTTTGGTAGTTTCTTGTGCATAGTTTGGGACCTGTTCGATCGATTTGCAATCTATTTTCCAACTCGGTGGTTATTTGTAATTAATGCAATGATGCAAATATAAGAAGACAGGGCTTTACCTATCATTTGGAGGGCGACCTGACATTATTTTCTTCTGACACTCATTTCGCCATATTTAATTTTGACGTAACGGAAATTCCATTTTTTCTCTAAATTTAGAAAGTGTACGGTGACGGTGACAGCAACGTTGACTTTCCCCGGATTATTGGGTCCCTGTGATATGATATAATTCACATAAATTTTAATAATAAGAGTCATTAAATATCCCCAGATACATATAATTGAGTTGTATCATATGTCTCTGATATCCCAAATACATATCTAATCTAAACCCGAATGAATTGACAAATTATACCAGAGGTTGAATTTGGACCTCAAGACTTGAAGGAGATGATATTCCTAGCCCCTAAATAATCTCTTTTCTTGTTCACTTCGTAAGTTGACGGAACAGAGTTATTTTTGTTAAATAAATTCATATCTCAATTGCATTTTATTGAAATATTACTCTCAAGATTTAGATAAATCGGCACTCTGGTGTAGCCCCCAAACAAGGATTTGTCATGATAGGAAGATTACTGATCAGTATATACAAATCATTACCCCAAATAACCGAGTCTTTTGATTTTGTAATTTCATATCTTAAATACATTTTATTGGAAATATTATGTATACAGATTATTGTCCTTATCACTTGTGAAAAACATCTTAAAACTAATAAACTGCAATTACGATTACCGTCAATAATATTTTATATTACATTTTAAGCCATAGGATTTTTTTTTTTCACTCGATAAAAAGGACGCACTCGAAAAATCACAGACATATAAAAATTTACTCTCCAAAATGTCCTTTTCAAAGAAAAAACAAGAATTCTTGTAAAGTGTCTGTATATATCTAAGTATATATAGATTCCATGTATGCATTTCCGTTGACATTTGCATTAGTATGTGTATAAAAATGGCTTTAATATATATTTTGGAATAAAGTATTGTAAGGCTAAATTAAACGCTTTTAAAACAAAATAATGTAGGGTTGATAATATATTTCTATCACAAATACTAATTTACCTTATATGATATTAAATATAAGTTTCTAGCATCTTTTTTTTTTACGTCTTACCAGAAAGGAGGGTAGGAATGCCCTTTACCGTCAGGCGTCAAACGGTCATTTTCGGCTACCGTTAGCGTCAAAATGGTTAAAATTTTACCGTGATTCGTCAAAATATCCTTATCGTGATTCGTCAGAGGTCTCAAATAATTATCGTTACCGTTATTTTTGGGAAAAATTTAACGTGATTCGTCAAAATCTGTCAATTTATTTTTATCGTCTAAAAGAAAGTCTACATTTTATCGTCATGCACCAAAATTACCGTTAACGTCATTTGGTAAGATTTTTTACCGTTATTCGTCATGAAGGTCCCCCTATTACGACCATCAGAAAGGAAGTCTGTTTGTTTACATTTTTTTTATCATATTCACTCGAAAAAACGTGGTCCAACTCGAAAAAAAAAACGATTTCCGCCGGACACTTTACCTACCGTGTAATTAGTAACTTAATTATTGGTGTTGTTCATGCCCTTGTTGACCCGTAATTTGTAAAAAATATCTTCTTATTCTATATATATTCGATATATACATGGGTGGCTATCAGTGATGAAAGGGACCCAAAAAGAATAGCCAACGAAACAACAATATGAGTTTACTTTTTAGATGCTGACAACCGATTCAGTTGAGTATTGTTGTTCATGTTGTTTGTGTCCTTGTTAAATGATTCATACAGTTTTACTATCATTATTATATATGTCATCATACCGTATCTGCAATAAAAATCATTTCGTGGAAAATAAGCGTCAGTTTTGTGATACTACTAGCTCATCTAAATGAATTTTGAGCTCAGTAAAATGGTCTGATGTTTAAGGTTCATGTGGACTCTGGCTAAAATTGCTGCATTTTCACCTCAAAATTTACTCTGAGTACAGACAAACCTGTGTATCTGGAAAAGTTTTGAAGCATAGCATGCCCTAGATAAATAAAATTCAAATATATTTTATGTTTTAAAAAATTAAAAACTTCGCATGATTTTGCAGTGCACTTTTTTTTTCATTCCTTCAGAAGGTGCCAAAATAAACTACGTTGTGAAAGATGTTTGAGAACTTACCCACAGGTAATAATTGAAGTGAACTGTATTGATTGTCATGGACAATAGATACATGACAATAATTGGTGATTTAAACTGTGTACCTGAGTGGACCATATCAAGTGAAACTCAACTGTTTGTTAATTTTATCATCTTCTGCAGGGACGAAAATAAGTGCACTGCAAAATCCAGTTAAGTTTTAAAATTTCTAAAATATACAATGCATTTGAATTTTATTTATGCAGGGCATGCTATGCCTTAAAACTTTTCCAGATGCACAGGCTTGTTTGTACTCAGAGTAAATTTTGAGGTGAAAACACATCCATTTTAGCCAAAGGGTCCACATGAACCTTAAGGAAAAGAAGGAGGGGCTAAGCTACAATATTCTAGACATAAAAGTAAATTGTTCTACATGCACGACGAACATTTTTGCAACTTTAAAATTTGGTTCTAGCTGGCGTTATATTTGAGAAAAATGGACCAAGCCTTAATCTCGTAAACTTTTACGAGCCAAATTAATAATATCAAAGTCATATGAAACGATTTTCTTGTAATTTTAATGTTAGGGAAATTATTGAACCAATGCATGCATATACTAAACTAAGTCCTCTATGTACGTTTTTAGATTTATTACGAATCTATAACGAATTATCGACATATAATATTTCACTCAATGATTGTTGATCGCAAGCTCATTAACTTACGAGTTTGTTTCCAAAGTTTACCGAATCGTGACATTGATAAACGATCAACACAGAATCGTGGAGCACGTGAAAAATAAGTGAATGGATAGAGTGGTGTAAACTTTTCTGTGATATTTTCCATGCGTTTCCATCTGTTAATTAAACTTTTTAATAACAGTTGTTAAATGATTTGGTGTTTTACATCTGTTCTTTAAAAATCAATTATTATTATTTACCTTCCAATGCACGTTTGTTTACATTCTTTAATCTTGGTTTTCCCTTGCACTTGCGTTGTGCGCTGGCCGAAGTTCTAACGAGAGCTCTCGTAGTAAAGGTCAATGCTTACGGGAAAATATTGGCGAATTAGAGTACGGGAAGACAATAATTCAATAGTAGTACATTTCCGAAGATTTTGATAAGATAAAGATTTTTCTTTTACAAGAAAGTTCACGTGCATTTGTTTTATAATTAAGTAAAACTTAGCAATTCATTACTATAAAACATATTCAACTTTTTTTTTAAATTTGAAGTATCATAAGAAAATTTGGATGCGATTCCCTATCCCACTGAAGTGTACTACTGGAGTTTGTCCAATCAACATACATATATCAATTTGGGCAAGTACTGAATATGATCCCACTTCGATCCCCAATTTAACTGTGTGCACCGTATTGCTAAGTTTATCCGGATAAAAATATGCTAATTTGGGGATTACATGAGATTTTAGATATATATGTATACATGTATATTACAAGAAAAGTCTACAATATGTTGTCAATATAAATGAGTTCTCAGAAGTTTTTCTTGTTGGAAAATTAATATATTAATAGTAAGTCTTTACAATGTTTTATTATGGTTAAATAATTATATATATGCATCTTCTTACTGAAAAGTTTTTTTTCATAACTTCTTCGAACACTTTTCTCTGAATTATCCGAGTCTATGTTTAAAACTTTTCATTACGTCAGCAATAATTATGACAATATACCAGATGTTAACATTACAAGGTAGACACGTGAAAATGTCTGTAAAATGATGATGAATTCATGTCCAGAGTGCTAGGTGAATTTTAAAAGTTTCATTCAGTGTATCAGTGTATCTTCAGTGTTAGAATTTCAGTGAATAGCATACCACAGCAGGTCAATTTTTACAAAAGTCAATATAATTCAATAAGGTGTGATTTGACAAGAGTGCAGCACAGGGACTCGGTTAGCACATCAAAAAGATTTAATCAATGTTTTTTGTTTTTTGTTTTATTCATTGTCTATTTATTTTACATTATTCACGTATTTTACGTTGGCATCAAAATTTCTTTGTTTTCTAGCAATGTGCAGTTTACTATCCATATCCGTATACTGATAATTCACGTCAAATACGTTAATAGTCAAATACGCTAATAATGTAATATAAAAAGACAGGAAATACGAAAACAAAACAAAAAAGGAAAATATTGATTAAATGGGCATTAGCTACGAGATATAAAAAAAATAAAATATGATTTTTTTTGTTCAATCATTAATGAAAGTGAAAGAGTGAAATAATAATTCGCTTTTACCAGCCAGTTAAATTTAGTTCAATTTTGTCAAAATAAGCTTGGAAACATCGCTGATGAATTATTCACATGCAAGTGAATAATTCGACCTCATTGAATCCATATTCACGTGACCTTCAGTATAACCCATTAAATAGAGATTGGTTACGCCTGTATTAGTCGTGTTCAGTCATTAAAAGGAAAGGAATGTCAACATGGAAAGCGAAACAAAGGTGAACCATTTCGTTAGATCCACAAAAATCATTCTTATACAGGTAAAAACGATGATTAACTTATTTTTTAAACATAAAACATGAAATCAGACGGACCTAGAAAAGTCCAATTGCACGAGGTCGCTATCTATTTATATTTATGTTTATGTTTATATCGGGTTATGTGACCGTCGGCAGTCTTCGGAGGTCATCTCGATGATTAACAGACTCATTGTAATTTGGATATACTAGTACGTTTTAGTATGTTGTAAATCAAATATGAGAATTTGAGTCAAATCGTGAAGATGAATTTGACAGCTAATGCCACTTTAAAGTTTTTGGATCTACTAACCGTGTCCCTGTTGAGTGTAGAATACATTTAGGGAGAAAGGTGGATAGGAAAAGTAAGCTTGATTTGCAAAGGTTGGTTGATTGTTCGAGTTATTTGTTAAATGTCCAGTGGCAAATATTTCATGCATATTAAGAACAATTAAGAATCTCTGAACAACAGGGCAAAATGTTTTTGAAACTTTAAGTGAATGATGTACTGGAACACATTCTACAAACGACTCTCATGTAATGTTAC